GGGGGCGAGGGGCGCGCTTGGTCCGAGCTGGCTGCTGGCAGGCGATTGGCCGGCGGGCGCTCCCTCGTCTTCCGCCAGTTATCTCGGCAAAGTGAAGTTGCTGACACACAGGAAACCCTGCCGACCGCTCCAAGCCCGCTGCCTACCCCCCGGAGCCGAGCGGTCGGTGGCAGAAGTCTCTGGTCCCGGCCCCCAGAACCATGCCGGGTGTTTGCAGGCTCCAGGCCGACAGCAGTCCCCAGCTGGGAAGCCCTGGCGGAGCCGAGCGCCTCGCTTCGCCGGGACCGGATTCCTGGCACATGCAGGAACCTGCTACTCCAAGAGGACGCCAGCCTCGGAGGAGCGAGTCTTGGGAGAGGCTGGTGCAGTCTCTTTCTGTCCTTCTTGTCTGCCCCCTCCCCGGTTTTTACTCCAATGCTATTTTTTGTTAATTAACCAAATGCTTATAAACCTACACCATGAGTAACATCAACGTGGGAATTTCTAAAAGGGGCTTGTAAAAATATGATTGGTCAGCGGTGGCGTTGCTTCAGCACAGTGTGTCTTCATAGATACCTAACACCTACTGGACCAGGCAAGCTCCCCAAATCTTCCCGTCCACCGTATTTATTTAAAAGTCGGAGATTAAAATTTTAAAAAAATCAAAATCAGTCCTTTTGGTAGTAATTTGAATATTAAGTACAGCTTTATATTGATAGATGTAAAAGACAATTATAATTCCAGAGTGACTAAGGTATGGTTTGGTGGGGGAGGTTATTACCAATCCTATCTCCTTGAGTTAAAGTGATTAGTTACAATTATCTCTAGTTAGTATCTTTAAAATGTAAACTGAGGACTTCCTTAATCACTACATTTACTGAAAACTTACTTTCTTGCCTTGAATGTATCACCATTTTAAGCAATGCATCTCAAAAATATATCTGAGCAAATTTGATTGGAAACTAAATTAATTCTTAGCTGTTCTGGGGCATATGTAAATGGACCCACACAGGAATGGAATCTAGCACTTCTTGACAAGTTACTAATTGACAATATATTTTTTATGAGATAAATCAACAAAGGCTTTTCTCCTAGAGAAAAAAAGAAATCCAAGAAGAAAATACCTGTAAAATATATGCCATCAAGATTTCTTTCTGGTCCCAGATGTTGCACGATAGTATTCACTTAAAGAATATGCAAGGGAAGGCCACAAGCAGCTGGATGTGATACCCAACAAGATCCAGATGGTTCTTGAGAGGAACATGTATATAAAGGACCATATCTAAGCACATGTCGTGAATACACTGGTATCTTGAGTTCTGGTCAATTGAACAGCATGAACATGAATGAAAAAGCTAGAGTAAAGAACTCAAGTCAAGGGTGTGAATGTGATTGTCTTGAACAACAGACTTGATTATTATTTTTTGTTTACTTCAGTCCTAAAGTTTTATGATTCTGTAATTCTAAGCTTTGACATGAAACATTTTTATATTGTTTGATTATGATGGTAATAGCTGGGATGATAGTCTATTAAGAGAGAAAAGGAAGCAAAGAAAACCATTAAGAGTTCCAGGGGTGCTCAATAGGTCTTAACTCCTCACTCCTTTGCATTTTTCATTTGCAACCTAAGCAATATATAACTTCACTCAGAAGGCTGTTGCAAATGCATTAACTCATAATGTGAGTGTTTTGAAATGTAACCTTAGTCCAGATACCATTAAGTACTTTCAGCAAACTGTCACTTTACTAGGAATTTGGAGGAGATAGTTGTCCTAAGTGCACCACAGACTTTTTAAAAATGATGTTAAAAAAATAAATTTTGTAAGCACTACTTTTATATTCAGCATATTTATAGTATTTTCATTACATTTTAAATAAAAACTGTGCCTCGTGGGAATAAGTTACATGTACTCAGGAATCATTTGTTGATAACTTTCTATTTGTAAAAATTGAATTAGATTTTGAACTAGATTGAACTAGAAGGAAAAAATAAAATATCATCTAAGACCCAGTAATATGTCAGTATTTATTTATGTTTGAATGCCAATTATAGATGCCTTAAAGGTATGACAAAAATATTCTCCATATGCCTCAAACATTCCATGTCAATTTGTTTTGTTTTTGAGTAACAATCTAAGCACCTGACTTCAAGAGATTTACAATTTAGTTGGAAATGCAAAGAATATTGTAGCTAACCATAATAACTTATAACAATAATAATAGGTCTTTCCTGCATACTCAGCACTATGTACACATAAAAGGGATGATCTCTTTCAATTCTTAAAATGTGCTATGATGATAGTTGGTGAGTGCATCCCCATTTTATAAGTGATGACACTAAGGTACAGAGAGGGTAAATAATTCACCCAGAGTCACACAGTAGAAACTGAGATTTAAATTCAGGCCATCTGTGCCTAAAGCGTATTCACTTAACCATTACCCTATGATGAAAACAAGCAAATACAGGGCACCGATAGGAACATTAACTTTTAGTGGCCAGTATAGATTGAGTTTAGAAAGAGTTACCCCCAGAAGCCTTCCATCAGGAGAGAATTCTAACCCGGTCTTTGACTGATGGTATTGACAGTCAAAGTCTATTTCAAAAACATCTCAAATATTCTACTTCTCTACACAGGCTTTAAAAAAAAATAGCCTGTACTTTATGTACAATCTGAGAAAGGCAATTATCAAAACATCAGATTTGTTCAGCCTTAAACTCATAAACAAAAGGCTGCTTTTCCTGTGTTTACTGAGATTCTTATTGCTGTCTTTAGGAAATCTCTTTTCTTTCTTTTAATTCACAGAAAATTCAACAGTCACTAAGAATGAATAAATCATTAAAAAAAAAAATTCCAATCAAGGGCCACTGGCAGAAAAGAAAAGAAATTCTTATAACCATAAAATACAAGATCTCCTAACTTTAAAATAGAGACCAAGAAACATGAGATTTGACTAAACAAATACCATACCACAAATGCTAAACCTAATTCTGGTAGCAGTATAAAAGAAGGGAGAGCTGACGGGGCAGAATAGCTGTTATGATTTTGCAGATGAGAGACAGAGACCATGATTTAGGAGATAAAGGGATCATTTCAGACATCCTTCTAAATCTCACTTCTGAGATGCATCTTAGGAAAATGAGGGGACCCTTTCCTTCCCCAAGAAGAAGATAGAAGCAAATAGAAGAAGTCATCTAAGGAATTTCCAACTGATGTCCTCCAGGAAAGTGGGAGAAGGAGAGAGGGCCAAGACAGAGTGGGATTGGAAAGGCAGTGACTGAGAAAGAAGGAAAGAACTGTCTTGTGTCAAGGAGGGCCCAGCTGTTCCTATAAATTATACACTTGTCATGGATCCAATCAGAAGGCTTCCTGAAATTTATTTCATTAAGAGTCAAAGCAGGAGTATAGGACACAGAATACAGATAGCAGCATTGATCAGAAGTTGTAGAGAGGAGAAGGGGAGAAGAGAGTGAGAGACTGGGGGTGGGTGGGAGGGTGGTGAGGAAGAGAGGGAAGGGGAGGAAGAAAGAAAAGGGAAGCGCAGGAAGGGAAGCAACGCTGGAGGGACAGAGGAAGTGAAAGCAAGGTACTTGCACAGAACTGGGAATAAAAACCTTTGGAAATCTCACTGAGGATAATGTTTCCATATTTAGGTTTAAATTTGGGTGTGGGGCGAGGGGGTTCATAGGGACTGTCTGGAATGTGGTGAGATGACACATGCATGGTCTTTGACTTAGGTTCTCCATCTGTGCCTGGTCACTTGCAAGTACTTGTAAAATCCCAGGCTGCCTAAACCTTCTGTTCTTAGAAAGTTTCTTGCACCACCCGTTGGATACCATGTCCACTACCATGAGGAGAGGGGGCTCACTGGAAACCAAACCTCACCGGCATGCAATTTACTTATGCAGCAAATCCTCATATGTACTCCATAACTCTAAAATTAACATAAATAAAATAAAAATATTCTTGCTTCCAAAGCTAAGAAAGAGTATTCAAGGGAACTGCTTTCTTGTATTTCTCTTTAGAATATTTACTTCTCTTATCCACATGAAGCCCTAGTCCCTAATCCTGGGCATTCATAATACTTTTTTAAAGCATTTTTGTTAAATCCAGAATAAA